ACGCCCGCCAATCCACTCCTCTCTCGAGCACTCGTTCAAAGACATTGCTTGCACGGAAGGAAAAGGGCATCCACCTCATGAGGCGACTTGTCAAGACGAGCGCAACCGCGCACCACAAACCGCCGCCCGCGGTGGCCCCCGTGCTCGCGCGCCTGGCAACCGCCGCCGGCGGCCACCAACGACGCACGCACAATCGTCCTCACCTCCTGCGCTTCCTTGCCGGGGGCGAACCTCAATGGCTAGCCGCAGCGGGCGCCGCCTCCCCACCGCGCCCTCCTCCACTTTCAGGCACTCGCCTCCGCCTCCGCCGCGCGCTCCCGTGACCGACCGACACCGACACCGGCTGCTCCGACCTATCACGCTGACACACTTTTCCCGACCTCGCGTGTGCCGCGTGCAGCGGCGGGCGGCACGACGGCGGCGCGCGAGCGGCTGGTGCGCGGCGCGGCGGCGTCGGGCGCGGGGCGCGCGACCGCCCGACGTGCGCACCGAACTCGCCCGAGCCGGCGCCGCGGCGCGGGCGCGCCGCGCGGCCGGCAGGCCCCACGGAGGCGCCTGGCAAATCGGGCGGAGCGGCGAGCCGGCGCGGAGGCGGGCGTTTGTTTGCAGAATCCTCGCGCCCTGATGGGACGCGGCTGGGCAAAAGAGAAGGTGGGCGGCCGCGGTCGTACGCCACGCGAAGGTGGACGTTTCGCCTAGCAAACTCCGAGGACCGCCAACATTGGTACTAGGCCTAATGTTCGTATTTGACAAAGTACACGTTTTCTACCGAAGAGATAAAATGCCACAGGAACATTGATTAGAAGTAGGCGAAGTTGGACTCCGCCTGCTTATTTACATAAATTCTATTCTTTCCTTCTGTTAACAACTATTAGTAATGAGGATCTTATCTTCCGGCCCAATTTTAAACGAAGTGGTTCTACCTTTACAAGAATGGCTTTTTGTGTTTATCTCGCGACTACTAATACACAGAACACTTTCTTCCCAGTTCAGGACATAGAAAGCGAAAGCAGTACTATAACGACATCCAGCCTGCACTTTCTTTCCTATTTTTAATTTTACACAAGAACTTCATCATTTTCTGCTACCATTCAAAGTTAGTCAATCTCAGAAGTGCAGTCGTAAAATGCAGTAGAAGATTAGTAAATCTGGGAGCTATTTAACTCCATTGGTTATTGATCCCACTAAGTACTATGCCATATATCATCTGAAACTAACTGGACATGACGC